ACTCCTACGTATAATATTTCAGATGCCTGTAGACCATCGTCCTCATTCCTCAAATTGTTATATTCCCTTTACGGAGCCGTATGGTCACCCTCCTTCCCTCCCTTTTCTAGGTACTACAGGGGCGCGGTCGGCGCGCTTTTGGTGTACGACATCACCAAGCACCAGTCCTACGACAGCATAGAGCGCTGGCTGAAGGAGCTGTACGACCACGCGGACGCCAGCATCATCGTCATGGTGGTGGGCAACAAGAGCGACCTGACGGACGAAGCCCGAGAAGTGCCCTCCGAGGAGGCCAAGATGTATGCAGGTAACCACTGGAGGGCACAACATCCTCAGGGAACTAGACTGGGTGGGAACCCGCTCCAGATGATGGTCAGGTGTCTCCAGTGAAGGTTCTGGTGATCCTCCATCATACCAAAGACATTGTAGACAATTGAGCTCTTCCAGCCTTGTGGTCACAGTTTGGTGAAGGCCCTTTTCTGTTCCACCATGACTGTCCCCTGTGTACAGAGCCAGCTCCATAAAGACATGGCGTGACCAGTTTGGTGGAGGAACTCGAGTGTCCTGCACAGAGCCCTGACCTCAACCCTACTGAGCGCCTTTGGCATGAACTGAAACACCAATTGGGAGCCGGGTCTTCTCATCCATCACCGGTATCCAACCATAACCCTACTGAACACCTTTGGAATAAAAGACAATTGTGCTCTTCCAGCCTTGTTCCATTAATAGTCCATCATACATATACATTGTAGACCACTGTGCTCTTCCGGCCTTGTGGTAACAGTTTGGTGAAGACCCTTTTCTGTTCCACCGTGACTGTCCCCAGCTCCATAAAGACATGGCGTGACCAGCTTGGTGGAGGAACTTGAGGGGTCTGCACTGAGCTATGACCCCAACCCTACTGAGCACCTTTGGGATGAACTGGAACGCCAACTGTGAACCAGGTCATCTTGTCCAACGTCAGTACCTGACCTCACTGTCTTGTTCAAATTGACACAAATACCTACAAAGCCAGCTCCATAAAGCCATGGTGTGACCAGTGTGGTGAAGGCCTTTTTCTGTTCCACCATGACTGTCCCCTGTGTACAAAGCCAGCTCCATACAGACATGGTGTGACTAGCTTGGTGTGGAGGAACTTGAGTGTCCTGCACAGAGCCCTGACCTCAACCCTACTGAAGACCTTTGGGATGATCTGGAACCCCAACTCCGAGCCTGGTCTTCCCATCCAACATCAATACCTGACCTCACAAATGGGACAAATTCCCACAGACACCTTCCAAAATCCTTCCCAGAAGAGTGGAGGCTGTTATTGCCACCGTGGGGGGACAACACTATATGAAAGGCCATTGGGCAATTCCATTCTTAGGGTCATGGTGGGGCAACTCCATATTAATGGCCGTGCTTTTGGAATGGGATGTCCAACCAATCATCTGGGTGTTATGTTTAGGTGACCACTGACCACATAGTGCATTTATCTTAGCCAGTGTTGGGATGGGGTCCTCCACCATGCAAGGTGAGGATGCCATAGGGCGCCTCAAAGTCACCCCGAGGTCTTTACCTTGGTAATAATATTTCAGATGCCTGTAGACCATCGTCCTCATTCCTCAAATTGTTATATTCCCTTTACGGAGCCGTATGGTCACCCTCCTTCCCTCCCTTTTCTAGGTACTACAGGGGCGCGGTCGGCGCGCTTTTGGTGTACGACATCACCAAGCACCAGTCCTACGACAGCATAGAGCGCTGGCTGAAGGAGCTGTACGACCACGCGGACGCCAGCATCATCGTCATGGTGGTGGGCAACAAGAGCGACCTGACGGACGAAGCCCGAGAAGTGCCCTCCGAGGAGGCCAAGATGTATGCAGGTAACCACTGGAGGGCACAACATCCTCAGGGAACTAGACTGGGTGGGAACCCGCTCCAGATGATGGTCAGGTGTCTCCAGTGAAGGTTCTGGTGATCCTCCATCATACCAAAGACATTGTAGACAATTGAGCTCTTCCAGCCTTGTGGTCACAGTTTGGTGAAGGCCCTTTTCTGTTCCACCATGACTGTCCCCTGTGTACAGAGCCAGCTCCATAAAGACATGGCGTGACCAGTTTGGTGGAGGAACTCGAGTGTCCTGCACAGAGCCCTGACCTCAACCCTACTGAGCGCCTTTGGCATGAACTGAAACACCAATTGGGAGCCGGGTCTTCTCATCCATCACCGGTATCCAACCATAACCCTACTGAACACCTTTGGAATAAAAGACAATTGTGCTCTTCCAGCCTTGTTCCATTAATAGTCCATCATACATATACATTGTAGACCACTGTGCTCTTCCGGCCTTGTGGTAACAGTTTGGTGAAGACCCTTTTCTGTTCCACCGTGACTGTCCCCAGCTCCATAAAGACATGGCGTGACCAGCTTGGTGGAGGAACTTGAGGGGTCTGCACTGAGCTATGACCCCAACCCTACTGAGCACCTTTGGGATGAACTGGAACGCCAACTGTGAACCAGGTCATCTTGTCCAACGTCAGTACCTGACCTCACTGTCTTGTTCAAATTGACACAAATACCTACAAAGCCAGCTCCATAAAGCCATGGTGTGACCAGTGTGGTGAAGGCCTTTTTCTGTTCCACCATGACTGTCCCCTGTGTACAAAGCCAGCTCCATACAGACATGGTGTGACTAGCTTGGTGTGGAGGAACTTGAGTGTCCTGCACAGAGCCCTGACCTCAACCCTACTGAAGACCTTTGGGATGATCTGGAACCCCAACTCCGAGCCTGGTCTTCCCATCCAACATCAATACCTGACCTCACAAATGGGACAAATTCCCACAGACACCTTCCAAAATCCTTCCCAGAAGAGTGGAGGCTGTTATTGCCACCGTGGGGGGACAACACTATATGAAAGGCCATTGGGCAATTCCATTCTTAGGGTCATGGTGGGGCAACTCCATATTAATGGCCGTGCTTTTGGAATGGGATGTCCAACCAATCATCTGGGTGTTATGTTTAGGTGACCACTGACCACATAGTGCATTTATCTTAGCCAGTGTTGGGATGGGGTCCTCCACCATGCAAGGTGAGGATGCCATAGGGCGCCTCAAAGTCACCCCGAGGTCTTTACCTTGGTGCTACAAAAACTATCGTAGATGTCTACCAGGGAAGGGAACGAAGGAGTTAATAAAAAGACCTTACCCCCCAAGGACCAGTGTCAGCCAAATTGAGCAATTTAGGTGCAATTGTACCAGAAGGAGGGCCAAACAGATGTTCTGAAGGCCCCAAAAATATTGAATTGGTTCAGTAAGGAACAACATCAAGAGCAGGAGGCAGCCCACTCCGGCCCCTAATAAGCCATTTTCTATGCGGTACCCATAATGTGTGCCGCGGCTGCGACACGGCGGTTCTCCGATCAGCAAACGGGTCTCTCTAACGGCTAAATTGCAGCAGTTGTACATTGGCCAAGTAGGTCGGGCGTGACGTTGGTCGTGTTTGCCGAGATAATTATTGCAGCGCGGCGGTTTTGTCTCCTTTGTGTTGTCTGAGGTCACCGCGGCTTCATAATGGGAACCGCTATTAATGTTTTGTCTCTTCTTCTCACCAGATAGCAACGGGCTGCTGTTCCTAGAGACGTCAGCGCTGGACTCAACCAACGTGGAGCTGGCCTTCGAGACCATCCTCCGAGGTGAGGGCTTAGACCTGTGGTGACCAACCTCAATTACTGCACCTTCACCCCTCAGATCACCCCAATTCCTGCACCTTCACCCCTCAGATCACCCCAATTCCTGCACCTTCACCCCTCAGATCACCCCAATTCCTGCACCTTCCCCCAATTCCTGCACCTTCACACCTCAGATCACCCCAATTCCTAAACCTTCCCCCAATTCCTGCACCTTCACACCTCAGATCACCCCCAATTCCTAAACCCTTCCCCTTCAGATCACCCCAATTCCTGCACCCTCCCCCCTTAGATCACCCCAATTCCTGCACCTTCCCCCAATTCCTGCACCTTCACACCTCAGATCACCCCCAATTCCTAAACCCTTCCCCTTCAGATCACCCCAATTCCTGCACCCTCCCCCCTTAGATC